GGTGGGGGAAGAGATGATATTAAAGGGGGTGGGGGAAGTGTGTGTGTCTGTGAGACAGAGAGAGATCCCTATTTTGTAAGTTTGCTTACTCTGCAATGCTTTCTTTTCCCCGGAGGCCTGGAAAATGCTTCTGCCGCCCGGATCTAGGGCTGCAGAGCGATTTTGCGCCCGCCCATGGCCAATCCAGGCGGCAGAAGCATTTTCCAAGCCTCTGGAGCCTGGATCGGGCCACTGGCTCGCCGCAAAATTGCCCCGTGGCCATGGATGCAAGCTCCGGAGGCCTGGAAAATGCTTCTGCCATCCGGATCTAGGGCTACAGAGCGATTTCACGCCCCCCCCCCCATGGCCGATCCGGGTGGCAGAAGCATTTTCCAGGCCTCCGGAGCTCGCATCCATGGCCGTGGGGCAATTTTGCGACATGCCAGCGGCCTGATCTGGGCTCCGGAGGCCTGGAAAATGCTTGTGCTGCCCGGATCTAGGGCTGCAGAGCGATTTCGCACCCCCCCACGGCGCAAATATCGGTGTTGCCTATCTTCCTTGTCCTCTTCTTCTTCCTCTTGGTTCAAATAAACTGTAGTATACACCGGATCTGCTGGTTCTACCCACTTATCAGGGCTCCAAATTAAGGCATAATCCAGTTCATTGTCTAAGGACTTGCATGATTTTTGTTTAACATATTCATACAAGTGTTGGCACGCAAAATAGTAGTTCCCATATGCGGCCATTCTATTCTCTCATCTTCCCACCAAATAAAACAACACAAATTTACCATATCTTCTTTGGTCAGATTCAACTTAATAATGATTTTATTATAGGGTTTTTTTCCCCAATTGGCCAGCAGGATTCCTAATGAACTTCCCGGATCAATGTTCAGTTTGGGGTTCTTTCTTATTTTCTTTACACATTTCTTCTTTTGGGATCCTTCTGGATTACCCATACTGGTTTACCGTACTGTTCTTTTATCCTTACCAATCTAATGAGACCACAATTAGCTTCACTAAGCAGCTTTCTCTTTTTCCCCACCAATCTCCTCGCGGAGGTATGGAAATCAGGTACTCAAGGTCCACACTCACTTCGCCTTGCAACCCTGTGGTTCTTGGGGCGTCTCAAGCACTCCTCTCACAGATCTCAGATTCACACAGTCCTACCCAGTCCTCCACCCGACGGCCTAGGCAGTTATTTCCTCTGGTTTACCCAGATAACTCACCTAGGTTCGTGCAGGAAGTTGCCCAGTCACTGAGGCCGGTAATTCACTGATCCCTCCTTCCGTCATTTTCCTAGCAATTTCTATTTGGGTCCGTGGAAGCTGAGAGTTGATTCCAGACCTCGGTCCCTGGAGTTCGAGATCAGACTGTTGAACTCAACGGGGCATGCCTTCCGATGTTGTCTCCAGGTTCTCCGGGATCCGGAAATGAGTGTTCCTCTAGCCCCACGTTTGGCGCCAAAACTGTTGCGCATGAATTTAAAAACAAATTAAATCCACTACTTGGGTTGCAAAAAAACCAAAATTTATTACTAACAAAGAAAAGAAAGCGGTTTGCAAAGCCAAGATCTGAGTCAAAACTTCACGCAGGAAGTTCTCAAGCAACAGAGCACACGTGAGCCATGTTGAGCAGTCATTTTTATACATCCTATCACGACGCCCCATTTCCCTTCCCCTTTGGTCCCATTGGAAAGACCCGCAGAGGTCACAATCTATCAGAAGCGCCTAACTGGAATACATTATCTCTGTCCTTGTCTGCTCAGGTTTCCTCAACATCCGACATACTACGATATATGGGCATGTTGTCGTTCTGGCAGAAATTCACAGTTTATTCTTTGGTTTTGGTCCACTCATCCTGTTTATTTTTAAAACATCCTTTTCCCTTGAACTGTTTTCCTCAGTTGTAAAATTAGAAAATTAATAAAATATTTATATAAAAATAAATCAATAAAATACTATGATGTTGATGTTCTTTCAAGAAGAAACCTAACCCCAGTAAATGTATCATGTAGCCAATATCATCTAGGAAATTATATTTCCAAGTACGGTAAGTAATTGAAATATTATCATTAAAACAAGAATTAGATAAATTAGATTGTATTGCAGTAGTGTCCTTCCTTAGATATAAGCTCTTCTAGCAGTTTACTTATAAGTACAAGTAATTAAATTAAGATAAATGTTGGCCTGTATAGTTCATAAATCTTTTAGCTGGGTCAGAACAAATGCCAATTTTTTAGCCCTTCACAGCACTTGCTCAACTTTTTTAAAGGGCCCAAACTTGTCCATAACTGCCAATATAATATAATGTATAAAGTTACATGACTGGCATATAAAACAACTTCATAATTCTATTGTAATCTATAAAATCTTCTCTTTCTCTTTTACAGTTTTAGGTTACTGAATCTAAGTGATGATATTTAGACAGTTTCAATCTGAATCTAGGCATCTGTAGTTGTGTCTATAGCACAGGAATGTGATTTGCACCATGTACCTTAATCTGGAGAGTAGTTTTAAATATCCTTTCTTTCCATTCTCTACTACCCTTAATATATATGCATTGTTTTAATCTCTCAAAATTATTTATTCTAATTTTCATCTCCCTTATATTTTGATGTATAAAGGGGAAGAACCATAGTTTATGACATAATGTGAGTGGTAAGTCTGATTACTGGGACTTCTTTAACCATCCATTGCAAAAGCAAATCATATTCAGAGGATAAATGAACTAGTTGTTATAAACAGATTGTTATCTTTTAAATATTTGCTTATACTATTGGGATAAAAGCATTGCCCTACATCCATTAAAATTGTCAAAGTTTTATTGCAATGTTATGTATTAGATCTCCTGCTAAATACGGTCTGAACAAGCATTGATCATTCTGGCTAGAAATTCTGGGATTAGCAGCCCCAGGCATCTTAGACTTAGAAGGACTCAGATTGGAGAAAGCTGGCTCTGTTCTGAATAACATTTTTATCTATCTATCTGTCTGTCTGTCTGTCTATCTTTGTGTGTGTGTGTGTGTATCTTTTTTGATTCTATATTGTGCAGGCAGCAGAGAATAACTGAATGGAAAGCATCTCAAGCAAAGAATAAATTTGGACAGTTTTTGGAGATTTCAGGACAGGATTATATTCAGGAAATTACAAAAGCTGGCAAAAACATCTGGGTGATACTACATCTTTACAAGCAAGGGTAAGCGAGCTTTTCAAGACTTTTTGTCTTCATGGATAATTTTTCTCTAATAGCTCTTGTCATTGTGCTACAGCATGGCAATTGTGCTGCCATTTGCTATTCAAGGACAGCCATTAAAAGTACAATTTCCCCTTTTTATGCCTAATTCGGTTGCAAGTCAAAGCGGTTGCAACAGTTTTTCGTTTATCATTGTAATTGTCTTAACCAGGTGGAAATGAGGATGGTTTCCTATTGATATGAGAGATCCTGTTAAGTTAGAGAAAGCTTGTCAATTTCCGTTTCTTCCTTTGTATCACCTTCAGTATACAAGTAATCCTCAACTTACAACCATTCATATAGTGACTATTCTAAGTTACAATGGCATTGAAAAAAGTAATTTACAGCCAGTCCTCACATTATCCCTATCACAGTGTCCCTTGGTCACGTGATCAAAATTACTGCCATGTATTTATAATGGCAAAAAAGGTTGCAAAATCGGGTATGACTTGCTTAGCAACAGAAATTCTGGTCTCAATTGTGGTTGTAAGCTGAGGACTACTTTATTAGGCAGTCCAGTGAAACTTGTAGATACCCAGTTGTGTTTGTAAATAGTAACTACAAATCATGAATATTGCCCATTATGGATATTTGTTTTCTTTTGCATATGGGTCTGTTTTCCTTACTTCAAATTTAGTATTCCTCTCTGTGCCTTGATAAACCAACACTTAAGTGGACTTGCCAAGAAGTTCCAGGATGTCAAGTTTGTCAAAGCTATTTCTACAACTTGCATACCCAACTATCCTGAAAGAAACCTCCCCACAATCTTTGTCTACCTGGAAGGTGACATCAAGGCCCAATTTATTGGGCCACTGGTATTTGGAGGCATGAATTTGACAAGAGATGGTGAGTGTCTATTTTGCAATAAACAGAATATTTTTCTGCACAGAAAATTGGTTGAGGTAGTCTGCCACTAAATTTCAGTGTATTCTTACTTTCCTTCCTTAAATAATCTCCATATCAAAAAAATTAAGGATGCAAAAAGAAATCTCTTAAGTAAAAGAGGTTTTAGTTTTTTGAGATGGTGGTCCTCTTTTTCGTCTGCTTTTACCATTTACAGTATATGTATTGCTACATTTCCTATCAATTGAAACTGCTGAATTAGTATGGATAAATGCTGTGCTAATTTTTAAAATTGATTGATTTGAATCTTTAACAAAAAATGTTTAGCTTCCTTTTCTCAGGAGCTGAGATTGCATCAGCATAGTAGGAAAGGCTTGTTATATTTGGTACAACTTGGCAATTGTGGCATTGTGTATGATGCATATAACCAATGCTTTTTTTGTTGGAGAAAAACTTAACATCAGTCCATTTCTAATACATGTTAGACAAACTATTATGCAAGCAAAATGAACATACTTTTCTAACACAGAAATAAGAGTAAGCACTCCCCCTTAATGTTATCTACTTCATTTGGTTCTCTTATCCCTTCCCCCCCCAGTTCTTTAGTCACTTTTATCATTACATCTGTAGAACTAATCTCAGTAGAAAATCCAGATCATGCTAATTTTCCTTTTAAGCTAACATAAATGAGATTGACTGATTAGGTTGCCCACAGAGTTAACAGTGTGATATCTGATTAACTTGTACTATTGACTTGCTTCCATTTCTGGGATGTAAGCCAGTGTGAACATGTGCAATAAAAACCTGCTGCTACATGGAAAATGTCTGTTTTGTTGCTGTAAAGAAATTAGCAGGGAATTGGGTGTTTATGTCTTTGAGCTCTACAGAAGATGCCCCCCTCCATTCCAAACAGTAGTAGCAGTTCCAAATAAATTACAAATAAGATAAAGGAGGCGAGATGAAATGTCCATTCTTGGCTAGCTGTAGCATATCAGTTAATGTCCTGAAGGCTGCTTCAAGAAGTTTGTGTAGAACTTAGCATTATAGTAAAAGTGGAAAAGAAAACAACAGATGGAATTGTTCAGAGAAAAGGAACATGGTGATACTTTCTTCTTTCCAACTTTGAAAGGCATCCACAATGTGTCATTTCCCCCTGTTGTTTCTCTCTTACATTTAGAATTAGAATGGAAAATTTCTGAGTCAGGTGCCATTAAGACAGACCTGGAAGAGAACCCCAGGAAACAAATTCAAGACCAGCTGATGACGTCCATCAAGTGCTCTGTTCCAACAAAGAGAGAAGAAAGTGACTCAGAGGAGGATTAAGACCCCACGTGCAGTTCTTAGCTGTGCCCAATTACTCAGAATTACTCTTCAATGAAACCAGAGGATTTATTGCTATAAAATAATGTGTTTTATTTCAGCCTGACGAATATCAGTGGTAATATTCTTTCTTGAAAAAGAAACTTCATTATTCATACAGGAATAAAGTAAAAGCAATTTTTAAAGTAGACATACCATTGAAGTCATTTGTGATGGATATTTACTAACAAATGTGGTATCTGCTTGTATTCTTATCATTAACTATAGTATACTCTCCCCTCTGCTCCAGTGTCATTTTAGGGCTGGATAAAAATTGTATGATACATTTTGGAAGAGCTATATTGATAACTGTAGGCCTATATTGATCAGATTAACCTGACCTGTTGTAGGTTAATTTTAACACAAAGTTATCTAAATCAGTGTGTTTATCTGCATATTTATTTAAAAATCTTGAAATCAGATCAAGTACAGGTAGCCCTCAACTTACAACTATTCATTTAGTTACTGTTTGGCATTGAAAAAAGTGACTTATGACCAGTTTTCACATGACCATTCGAGCATCCCCATGGTCAGGTGATCAAAATTCGGGCCCCTGACAACTGGCATGTATTTATGACAGCTGCACTGTCCCAGGGTCAGGTAATCAATATTTGTAAAGTTCCCAGCTAGCTTCTGACAAAGTCAATGGGAGAAGCCAGATTCATTCTAACAACTGCCTTATGGAAATTTTGTGATTGTAAGTAGAGAACTATCTGTAAAGAAAATATAGAATAGTTTGAAAAATAAGTTTGTTCTTCCTCTTCTGTATACATGAGTTAAACTTAACTTATAACAATTGTAACTATACTTGATGGGTCATTAAAAACGCAATGACTTTATACTGTAGAATACATTATCTCTTCAACTTTTGGATATTTAATAATGGTCCAAAGAAATGTGCATTAAACATTGGCTTGGATGATTTCAGACTAGAAGTGAAGAGTTCGATAATATGAATATTCACTGTTGCGTTGTTGTAAACAATCTTCCATTTACATTTTCTATAAATTTTAAGCATAAAATGTTTTGTTTACTGGTAAAACAAGCATATTGATGTGTTTAAATATTGTCTCCAATGCTGAAAGAACTTACCTGCAATTAGTACAGAAAACAAAACCAGGGGAGACATGATAGCAGTGTTCCAATATTTGAAGGGCTGCCACAAAGAAGAGGGGGGGGGGTGTCAAGCTATTCTCCAAAGCACCTGAAGACAAGACAAGAAACAATGGATGGAATCTAATCAAAGAGAGATCCAACCTAAAACTATGGAGAAATTTTCTGACAGAACAATCAACCAGTGAACAGCTTGCCTTTAGCAGTTGTAAGTGCTCCATCACTGGAGGCTTTTAAGAGGAGACTGAACAGCCATCTGTCTGAAAGGATGTAGGTCTCCTGCTTGAGCAGGGGGTTGGGTTAGAATACCTCCAAGGTCCCTTCCAACTCTGATATTCTATGTTCTAAACCTCGGTCACTAAACCTTAGTGACTGATAACATACATATTGTATTTAAAAGACATTAGCTTAAATGCATGTGTGCAGTTTACATCATTTTTCATTTTTTCTTGAATTTGGATTGCAAAGTGCTTGATCTGGGCTAATTAAGAGATTTTGTAATTCCTTAAATTCCAAGTAACAAGAATTTAGTTCCTTTTCTGGCAAATTCCATAACAAAGATATAACCAAGATTGCACAAATATCTTTGTAAAAGAGATGAGGTTCAGTCCTCTCTGATCTCAAATGGACAGTTACATAGAGCAAAACAATTAAACTGAACAACGTTATTTCAACCCTATCACGTAGTGGCAGCAAGTATGTTATTGGGAATCCCTGTGTAGGGCTGGTTAGGAATCAGGTTTTAACTTACATTCTCAGTCTATATCCCAGACTCATTGCTTAACAAATATTTTGACAACCCATTGTAATTACAGATTCAGAAGAAAAGCTTTAGATTTGGAACAGTTTATTTTATATATAGATTCTGAGTCAAGCCCTGAAGGTTGTGGGAGTCTGGAATGGGAGGAATAGGGTTGAACTCAGCCTTAGCAACTCCAAATAGATGTAGTCATGACCTCCTGATCGGGAGATTTTCCATCTTTGATTGTAAATGGGATCCAGACAATCCAGAGCATAATTTGGGGATCCCCCTCCCCATGGATTTACAAGTCCTAACTGAACAGTAGGTGGCAGCCATGTATTGGAGGACCTCGTGTTCAGATTTGCACAAATTTGTGCACATTCCTTGCTTAGGAAATCCTACCCATTGTCACTCACAACCTGATAACCTCTCATCTGGGTTATTGCAATGCGCTTTCGGGAGTGCATTTCAAGAACACTTTGAAGCTACAGTTGGTCCAGATTGCAGGAGTGTAAGTGACCATGTAATATTACTATTACTTCACAAATTGCACTGGTGGCCAATTTTATTTCCAGGTGAATTTAAGCTACTGCTTATTACAATATAACGTTCAAGGCACAGCCTGGCTATTTGCTGGACTTATTTCTGATTATCTCTTCCCATCCATAGGATATAACAACTGCACAATCTAGGTCCCTGTTACTAAGTTATGCCATCTGGTGAGATCTGTTACCCTGAATTATCTGAATCATACCTAGAGCTGGCTGGGGAATTCTGGGAGTTGAAGTCCATGCATCTAAAGTTGTCAAGGTTGAGAAGTACACTCTAGAGAGTGACTACTGTATGTAAATTCACTTAAATGAATAACAAAACCCATGTCTTCCAGAAATATTAAACCAAGTTTGCACTGTTTCTTGGTGAGCAGGAATTAAGCCATCTTTGAATTAATTGTGTATTGAGGGCATGTTTTGGATAGAATGAAGACATTTGGACTACAACTGTCTAATCCCCCCAAAGTACTAAATCTGCATTAAAACATTAATGTTAGTTAGTTTCAAACTTTGTCTACAGCATTCTGTGATGCACTTAATGTTTCAAACTAATGAGTGCAAGAAAAAGAAATCTCTAATTCCTGTTAATCTCCAGAACAGATTAACAAGTAGGTTAGTCTGGTGTTCTATATTACAAGTATCTTGGAGTACAAATCACATAAATATTGTGTACAGTTGGGAATTATAAACCAAAGAATTTGGGAGGTGTTAGGGTGTTTGATGTTCAGTGTAAAGAGCAAAAATGAGATATTCAGTTGTTTACATTCAATTAAATATTTCATTAGGAATACATGTGCTTCTAAGTAAAAAGATTTAGGTTGTTTATTACAGTGCAATCATCCCTGTTTCTTGGTTTCAGCATTTGTGTGGTGTCTAAGAAATCATTCTGTATTTTTTCTCATGTCAAATATATTGACCAACACAAAGACTTAACAAGAGATCTCCATAGGATACAGATGAGATTGGTTTAATCTCACAGCATAGCAGAAACTGTAGAAGAAGAAGCAGCTAAAATCTTCCCAGGCCTCAGGCCTTTGAATTATCTCTGGCAGTAGTAAAAGAAATTTTGAAGAAATTAGGTATGTCCTGAAGATGGCACTGTTTACCATAGTAAGTCCACTGTCCTCTTGAAACAATCCTAGGAATATTTATTAAATGATAAACTTTCTCCAAATGCCAAGTTGGCAGAAAGCTATACAGAAGTGACAGGCAATCTGCTATTACCACTGTCTACTCTGTGTCTGCTGCTTATGTTCCAAGCAATCACTCCATTACTTTCTCTCCAATGTAATGGATAACAAAGCCTAACAGATTTTGTATACCTTAAGTTCAACCCTTGGATGGCATTGGAATAACAAGGAAAATACTACTTTAATGCTAGAGGCCTACTTAAGTCTGTCTCATTCTTGGGCTGTGATTCTTGGGGGTGAGTTGAAGGTAACATTGCGGAGACACCGCAGAAAACGGATTGCTAGGCCATATTTGTGTCATGGTTAAGTGCAAATGGGCAAGAATACACAGTAAACAATATGTCTGACATTAGTTTGCAGCAGTTCATGATTCATGATTTTTAAAAAGTTGTGTATCAGAAAATTCAGTGCTCAGAGTAATGAGTATTGTTCAGGATGCTTTGCAATGTAATTAGCAAGTCCCCATGAATGTATATCAAAATTTAAATTGTTACATGCTTAAAACATGGAATATAAACATAGGGAGAAATAATTTTCTTAGAATATTTTTTTTAATTTATAAATTTTATTGGTTTTTAAAACATAAATCATATAATAGTTAATAGCGTGTTTGCTTAGTTTACATTTGTAAGGAAAGATCATTAACAATTGATTTCTATAATTCGTAATCCACATATTCCAACAAATGTCTCTTTTTCTCTTAAATATTCTTTCTGGTGGGTCCCATCATCTATATTCTAAATTTTCATTTAATATTTTCAATATGAATCAGAGAGTTTTCCGTCTATTTTCCCCCAACCAACTGTACAATTTATACCCCTTTTGAACGGCTAGATCTCTTATTTATAAACAATATTATTTGCTGTGGTATTCAATACGTATCAATGGCAGGTATTTTCTACTTTGATCAACCCAGGAGAAAATTCAAAAAATCAAGACGGCACTGATTTTTGATATATTTCTTTGTTCTGCCCAGCTTAGCACTTGGCTTTCTTTCCAAGGGCTCAAGTACAACCTTTGTCCACCAAGGCTGATAATTATTCAGACAGAGCAGGATTTCCTCATAGGGACGCCATAACATAAAGTGTATGATTGGTAGAAGAACACTACATTTTTTCTAGCAATAAATCAAAATAGGAGGAGCAAAGTGTCACATTTCTCATATTGGCCATAGTCCTGATTGGAACTGGATTTAAAAAGGGGAATGGGATACAGGTCTGCAATTCCGATTATAACTTATCACAGTTGTCAAGCAGGTCATCATGTGACCTGCTTAATTTTATGACCTTTTTCACAGTAGTCGTTAAGCAAACCTTATGTTAAATGAACCTATATTTGCTATGGGGTTTTTTCCTGGAAACCAAAAGTAAACTGTTTAGCAAAAATATCATAAATTGTGATCACATAACTGTGGGACACTACAAGCACCCAAAATGCAGCCTTGTGACCTTATGAGGAGGTGGCCATAGAAACTCCCTGGATGACTTTGGATCAGTAATTCTTCTTCATCTCAAACTCCCTCCATTGATTTTGAGAGTAAATAACATGGGAACACTATGTATATTGCCTTATCCTGAATGAAATGCAAGATTGAAGATACATGGATGATAGAAATAGAGATAAAGATATAGAGATGTCTGTTTGTGTGTGTGTGTATATGAGAGAGAGAGAGAGAGAGAGAGAGAGAGAGAGAAAATCTTCTATATCTTCTATATATGAGGTAAACTGCTTGAGGCCACTTGGGGCCTTCTGCAGAAATCCTTCAGCTATAAGTATGCTCATATCTGTAATAATTGCTACCTACCTTATTCAGATTTTAATTCCTTCATGGCAGAAAAAAAGAAGGAGAATGAGTACACGACCTTAGTGTCTGATCCTACTCATGGCTTGCAAGGAATCAAGT